TTGGGGGGAAACAGCAGAAACTGGGGTTGGGACATATGGAGGGGTGCTTGAAGAAAGGGATGGGGAGAGGAATGCTCAAATATTTTAATGGTTTTTGCTCATATTACATATATTTGGTGAAATTTGATATTTTTTTCCAAAAACAGAGGGTCGGAGAAAGTCGGCCCGGCGCCTAAGACTAGGTTCCCGACTCTAAGATTCTACTCGGGATATATTTTTGCCAAATTCAAAAAAATGGTTATTCTTGAATGCCATTAACTTTGTTTTCTTTTTCATGATTCTGAGGTCGCTCTCCCTTTATTTTAGACAGAAGACCAAATTTATTCTTCAAATTGTTGGTTGGAGCATTTTAGGTCTTCATTAAAGCATCATCCTTTGTGGGTAACCCTGTATCTAGATAAATGTCTAATTTGAACTAGGTACGCGAACTGTTATCCAACAGCTATAGAAATGGTAGCGAGTGGTAGGGTAGATGTTAAACCGTTAATCACCCACAGGTATAATTAAATTACTTATGCTATCTCGTAATTTAGATTAAACATATTTTTTTCAGATTAAAACACTACATCTTCAAATCATCCATTCTTAACATAATTTCTTAGCTTTTTTTCTTTCATACTTTTTTTATATTTCAGGTTTACCCTGGAAGAAACTGTTAAAGCATTTGAAACCGCTAAAACGGGAGCTGGAGGTGCGATCAAAGTTATGATAAAGTGCTGATCAATTGATGATCAAATGATGATCAATTGATGATCAAGTGCTGATCAATTGATGATCAAATGATGATCAATTGATGATCAAGTGCTGATCAATTGATGATCAATTGCTGATCAGTGTAAGATCAAATAATGATTCGTGTATGATCAAGTGCTAATCAGTGAAGGATCAAGTGCTGATCAGTGTATGATCTATTGCTGATCAGTGTATGATCAAGTGCAGATCAGTGTATGATCAATTGCTGGTCAATATATGATCAATTACTAATCAGTGTATGACCAAGTGCTAATCAGTGTATGACCAATTGCTAATCAGAGTATGATCAAGGGCTAATCAGTGTATGATCGAGTACTGATTAGTGTATGATCAAGTGCTGATCAGTGTGTGATCAAGTGCTGATCAGTGTAGGATCAAGTGTTGATCAGTGTATGATCCAGTGCTGATCATTTTATGATCAAGTTTTGATCAGTGTATGATCCAGTGCTGATCAGTGTATGATCAAGTGCTGATCAGTGTATGATCAAGTGCTGACCTGTGTATGATCAAGTGATAATCAGATTATGATTAATTGCTGATCAGTGAATGATCAAGAACTGAATAAGTAATGATCAAAAACTGATCAATCGATTATCAAGATTGATCAAGGTGGATCAAGATTTATCAAGGATGATCAAGGACTGATCAATTCAATAAATAAATGATTCAGTGCTTAACAGTTTCGAAATATTGTTCATTTAGTGATTTGTAATTCTTAATCAAACTTTATTCAATTTTTATAATCATATTGATATTATATAATGTCAAAATCTGATTAAAATTGTATTTCATTTATTGTTTATATATGTATATTGTATTATCAAGTGGTGAAAAGTTCAAATACTGATCCTAACTCATCGGATACTGATCAATTGCTGTTTTGTTGATCAAATACTGATCGAAAACTGATAAAATACTGTTCAAATACTTGTCAAATGCTGATCAAATGCTGATCAAATGCTGATCAAATGCTGATCAAATGTTGATCAAATACTTAACAGGATATGAATTCGCTATAATCGAAATTGATCAAACTCAGTGCATTTTACTAATCAGCTAACTTTTTGTTAAAAAATTAACTATTATTTTAAACTTTATACTTTAAAATGTTGTGTATTTTATGCGTAATAAAATTAAGATAAGAAATTAGTTTAAATATGATTAAGTAATCTTCAAATCAAATATGACTAATCTATGGAAAAATACTATTTTAAAACTTGCAAAGTTACAACATTGAATTTAAATGCAATAAGTTTCATAAAGCTAAACTAATGTACTTTTTCTGTCTATAAAAATTAATTTATTTTTTAAGAATATAACTTTTTAAGAAGTGTGCATTGCAGCAGGGTACGTTAAATTGAAAATCACATGTATGTGTTACATCATTAAATACTAGATTTGTTTCACAATGTTGAACGTAGCCAATTCCACCAAAACACTAATCCAGAAATACATATAAAAAGTGAAAATTAAAAGAAAATTATGAATTTAGAGTTGATCGCATTATAGGTCTTTAATTGTCGGAAATGTTTAAAATTGTTATAAAATAAGATCGTAAAAAGAAACAAAATTTCAACTTCATCTGTTGTAAGTGATTTCCTGGTACTGGATTTGAACGAGTAGAAATTAATTTAATTTGCTCAGATGTATTTGTTTAAGCATAAATATTGCAATTACAGGGGATATTAGTAGGGCTGGGCGCGTTAACGGTGGAACGATCGTTCTTTGCCGAGAACGAACGGAACGATCAAGAACGATCCCATCGTTCCGAAAAAAAACAAACGCCAAGAACGGAACGGAACGGGAAGACCGTTCTTCTACTCAGAACGGAACGGAACGGGACGGAACAGAACGAGAACGGAACGATAAAAAAAAGAGGAACGAGAACGGAACTATTTAGCTGAAGGCCCTCGTTCTAGAACGGAACGGAACGGAACGATTTCAAAAAAGTCGGAACGTGCCCAGCCCTAGATATTAGTTCCAAAACTAACACTTTACCCATTTCTAACACTGAGTGTTAGAAATGGGTCAGAACTGCAAAGTTTTCTTTTTCAAGTTATCTTTAAATCCAAGACGATTAGAACAAAATTACACCAAATACTTATAAAAAATGGCTAAAACTCTATAGCGACAATGTCTCAAATTTAGGATATTTTCGAAAATGGAAAACCTGACATTGTCTTGAAAGCGGTCAAAAAATTTAATATAAAAAGAACTCTATTATAATTTTGATTTTTTTAAAAAGTTCATGGGAATTGCTGTCCTCGCCATGTTTAATAAGATGCTGGTTATAGTTTTTAATATTGACTTTTAATCAGGATATGGGCCGGGATCCCAAAAAAATGGGATAAGTGTTAGTTTTGGAACTAATGCCCCCTGAATTAAGCTAAAAACTTCTTCTAGGAATATTTTCTAAGATAAGGTGGATTAACATTAAAAACGATTTTCCATTTTTCTCTTAAAGGAATTGAGTCTTTTCACAAACTCTAATTTTCCAATCCCTATATCTTTGTAACCTAAAGTCGTAGACCTTAAACATTTCAAACTCCAAGGATTTCTGTTAGATCAACAAATATAAGTTAAAAATGTTAAAGAGTTATACCATCAGGTTGCAAAGATATATGGATTAGAAGAAATGAGTTTGTGGCGAAGACTCGAACCTAAATTGAAGGTTTTTATAAACATTCTGTTTGTATTCTGTTCCTGACAAAAAGTGTTTTCACAACATCCTTCAGAGAAGAGACCATCTTCTTTACACACATGCTTACAGGAACCCCTGAATAAAATTCATATGCTTACAGGAACCCCTGAATACACATGCTTACAGGAACCCCTGAATAAATACATATGCTTACAGGAACCCCTGAATAAAATTCATATGCTTACAGGAACCCCTGAATAAAATACACATGCTTACAGGAATCCCTGAATAAAATACACATGCTTACAAGAATCCCTGAATAAAATACAATTGCTTACAGGAACCTCTGAATAAAATTCATATGCCTACAGGAACCCCTGAATAAAACTCATAAGCTTACAGGAACCCCTGAATACACATGTTTATAGGAACCCCTGAATAAAATACACATGCTTACAGGAACTCCTGAATAAAATTCATATGCTATAGGAACCCCTGAATACACATGTTTACAGGAACCCCTGAATAAAATACACATGCTTACAGGAACCCCTGAATACACATGCTTACACCCCTGAATAAATACATATGCTTACAGGAACCCCTGAATAAAATTCATATGCTTACAGGAACCTCTGAATAAAATTTATATGCTTACAGGAACCCCTGAATAAAACTCATATGCTTACAGGAACCCCTGAATACACATGTTTATAGGAACCCCTGAATAAAATACACATGCTTACAGGAACTCCTGAATAAAATTCATATGCTTACAGGAACCCCTGAATACACATGTTTACAGGAACCCCTAAATAAAATACACATGCTTACAGGAACCCCTGAATACACATGTTTATAGGAACCCCTGAATAAAATACACATGCTTACAGGAACTCCTGAATAAAATTCATATGCTTACAGGAACCCCTGAATACACATGTTTACAGGAACCCCTAAATAAAATACACATGCTTACAGGAACCCCTGAATACACATGCTTACAGGAACTCCTGAATAAAATTCATATGCTTACAGGAAACTCTGAATAAAATTCATATGCTTACAGGAACCCCTGAATAAAATTCATTTGCTTACAGGAATCCCTGAATAAAATACACATGCTTACAGGAACCTCTGAATAAAATTCATATGCTTACAGGAACCCCTGAATAAAATTCATATACTTACAGGAACCCCTAAATAAAATACACATGCTTACAGGAACCCCTGAATAAAATACACATGCTTACAGGAAACCCTGAATAAAATACACATGCTTACAGGAACCCCTGAATAAAATACACATGCTTACAGGAACCCCTGAATAAAATACACATGCTTACAGGAACCCCTGAATAAAATACACATGCTTACAGGAATCCCTGAATAAAATACACATGCTTACAGGAACCTCTGAATAAAATACATATGCTTACAGGAACCCCTGAATAAAATACACATGCTTACAGGAACCTCTGAATAAAATTCATATGCTTACAGGAACCCCTGAATAAAATAAATATGCTTACAGGAACCTCTAAATACAATACACAATCTAAGAACCCTTGAATTCAGATGTTTATAGGAAACCCTGAATAGAAAATAAATGCTTACAGGAATCCCTAAAAAACTACACATGCTTGCAGGAATCCCTAAAAAAACTACAATGCTTACATGAATCCCTAAAAACTACACATGCTTACAGGAATGCCTAAAAAAACTATACATAGTTAAAGAAACCTCTGATGAAAACTATACTGCTTACAGGAACCCCTAAGAAAGCTACACATGCTTACAGCTACAGGAATACCTAAAAAATTACACATGCTTACAGGAATCCCTAAAAAAACTACACATGCTTGCAGGAATCCCTAAAAAACTACACATACTTACAGGAATCCCTAAAAAACTACACATGCTTACAGGAATCACTAAAAAAACTACACATGCTTACAGGAATCCCTAAAAAACTACACATTACTAAAAAACTACACATGCTTACAGGAATCCCTAAAAAACTACACATGCTTACAGGAATCCCTAAAAAAAATTACACATGCTTACATAAATCTCTTTAAAAAACTACACATGCTTACATAAATCCCTAAAAAGACTACACATGCCTACAGGAATCCCTAAAAAACTACACATGCTTACAGGAATCCCTAAAAAAACCACACATGCTTACAGGAATCCCTAAAAAAACTACACATGCTTACAGGAATCCCTAAGAAAACTACACATTATTAAAGAAACCTCTGATAGAAACTATACTGCTTACAGGAATCCCTAAGAAAACTACACATTGTTAAAGAAACCTCTGATAAAAACAATATTGCTTACAGGAATTCCTAAAAAAACTACACATGGTTAAAGAAACCTCTGATAAAACTATATTGATTCCAGGAAACCCTAAGAAAACTCCACATGCTTACAGGAATCTTTAAAAAAGACTACAGTTCCTACAGGAAACCAAAAGAATACTACGCATGCAAGCTAACTGGAACTATACTGAATACAACAACGAGGACAAAATATTGACATAATAAAATAAAGTTGAAAATTAAATCATAAATTACGATTTTGAACTTAAAATGTAGTTATCCCTAGATTTTTTAAATTAAAACCAGCATATAATCTGCATAGTTTATATTTCTAAGATGTATGAAATCAGTGGCCGAATTTAAAGAATTTGAGCGGCGGTTTAAATTCAAGCCGCGGCTTGAATATTGTTGGTTCCACTTGAAATTGTATCAAATGTTTCAAGATTTAAGCCGGCGCTTAACTTAAACTGGGTTTTGGCAGATTTAAACCGCGGCTCAAATTCTTTAAATTCCATCTGAGGTTGCTGAAATTTAAGGATTAAAAAATTAGAGTTTGAGACAAGAAATCAGTTGCTGTAAAGTGAGAATCAGAAAGCTCTAAGAAGACGATGTATGGACTCAAATTATCTCTTTAAAAATTCAAATAAACATGAGACACTGCAAAAGTGCACTGTAAACAGACAAATGTATGATTTTAAAAGTCACAAGTAACCTATTTACTGATAACAGCATCAAATACACTTAATTATTTCTTTAATGTCATGTTCCTATTCTACAGTTTTCAGGTTCTCACCGTTTATATCAATGATAATATTAATAATAATAATCCTACTGTGTAGTTGTTGGTCCCCATGTTGTTGGTTTATGTGAGGTTGTTGTTTCACAATCATCATCACAAACTCCACAAATAGGTCTACATGTAAACAATATTAAATACAACAAATTTAGTATTTTTGTTTAATTACGAAATATGCACTATTGAGGATAAGTAATTCCAAGGTACTAATGCAAGGAAAGTTATTTAAGAGATTTACGCATTTTTTGTACTGCAATGTACTGTCGTTGGGCGGCAAAGTAAACACAAAACGGATGTCATAGCCTGACATGGAATGGAATCAATTTTCACAAAAATAATCTATGAAATATTCTGGTCATAGGAAACTATTATATGATTTTTCAAAATTATCAAAATTAAATGTCTTAATCCTCCTCGGATACCAGGCAAACACTGATGCATCTATTCTTGTTTACAAATTCCGCCCAGAGAGAACTGGTTTCAATATGTACGCAGAGTATACGCGACCATAATTAACTTTCCTTGCGTTATTACCTTGAGTAATACCGACTTTAATATTATAAAGAATAAACGTTTGCTGGATTTTGTTCCAAAATACTGCAATGATTCTCAGAATTCCAAAAAATGTAATATTAGTTTTCAATTCTTTTACAAACAAGAGTTAAAATATGGTTGCAAAACCAAAACTTAAAGATAAATCTATATATATTACCTATCTCCACACTCCACCCTATCCGCCCAATCACACCAGACATGAACAGGGTCGAATAGTTGTCCCTGCGGACAAATACTGTGATCGCCTACACCACCGAAACAGTGCCAATATTTTCTACAGTTAAACTCATCGGCAAACCTTGGAAGAAAAAATTAAAGAGAGTGTTCCTTTTTTTCAAAAATTAAAGGGAGTGTTCCTTTTTTCAAAAATTAAAGAGAGTGTTCCTTTTTTTCAAAAATTAAAGAGAGTGTTCCTTTTTTTCAAAAATTAAAGGGAGTGTTCCTTTTTTTCAAAAATTAAAGAGAGTGTTCCTTTTTTTCAAAAATTAAAGAGAGTGTTCCTTTTTTTCAAAAATTAAAGAGAGTGTTCCTTTTTTTCAAAAATTAAAGAGAGTGTTCCTTTCTTTCAAAAATTAAAGAGAGTGTTCCTTTTTTTCAAAAATTAAAGAGAGTGTTCCTTTCTTTCAAAAATTAAAGAGAGTGTTCCTTCTTTCCAAAAATTAAAGAGAGTGTTTCTTTTTTTCAAAAATGTTATTATCTTTAAATTATGATCACAACTAATGTAATCAATTTTAATTTAATCAATTAATAATTCTAAACAATTATTAATTATTCCACTTGATAATCAATTTTAAGTCATTTGAAAATCAATCAATCAATCCACTTTATGATCACTCAATAAACATTATGATCAACCAATCCACTTGATTATAAATCAATCCACATGATAATCAATAATTACACTTGAAAATCAATCAAATCACTTGAAAATCAATTAAATTAGTTTAAAATCAATTAAATCACTTTATAGATAATCAATCCACTCAATGATCAATCAATAAACTTGATAATCAATCAATCCATTTGATAATAAATAGATTCACTTGATAATTAATCAAACTACTTGATAATAAATCAATAAACTTGATAATTAATCAATCCATTTGATAATCAATCAATTTATTTGAAATTCAATCAAGCCACTTGATAATAAATCAATTCGCTTGATAATCAATCAATAAACTTGATAATTAATCAATCCATTTGATAATCAATCAATTTACTTGAAATTCAATCAAACCACTTGATAATAAATCAATTCACTTGATAATCAATTAATCCATTTGATAATCAATCAATTTACTTACCATCCATCTCCTGCTGCAACACAATCAAAAGAATGGTCACAAGTATTAGTAGTAGTTTCAGGAGTAGGAGTAGTTGTTGGATGCTCTGAGGGACAATGCATTGGATCCAGGCAGGGTCTCTCCCCACAATCCACCTTAATATAGGATACACGGTAGGGATATGGATATTGTTTACAAAAACGATAGTTTTTCCTATCATTTTGGGTTTCACCAATAAACTAATGAAAGTTTGTCTTAAACACTGTCGTCCAAAAACTAGGGATGGCAACGTTCCAAATTTTTCTATAGCTGTTTCAAATACGGTTATGTTCCAAAGATAAGAAAGGAACATTCGTTCCTTTTACGGCATTTTCCTTTTTTTTAAATTACCGTTAGTGAACGATCTTAATTTTATTTTCGGAGTTAACAGTATTTTACAGTATTAATGGTGTAAACGGCAAAAAGGTTTCGTTTACAGTTTATAAACAGAGAAAACAACCTTTAAAACATTAGAACGCGTAAAACTTTTTTAAAAATTTAAATTCATGCAATGTTTATCAGAAAATAATGAAATTCACCGTTTTTAGTTGTTTAGTTAACGTTTTTAACCGTTATTTTTTTCTAAAACGGCTAACCTGTTTTTTAACGGTTTAAAAATTACCGTTCGTTAACAGACTCTTCCGATAATTTTCAAAAGCCTTCGTTTCGTTAACGGAACTTTGCCCAGCTCTACCAAAAACTACCTTGTATTAAGTTTTTTCTTCCGTTTTGTTTTCGTTTCTTTTTCAATTTAAGCGCAGGAACCCAAAGGCATTCTGCATGAAAGAAAATACAAAGACGACAATTCCATTGTTTATTGCTGATCCCTATTTTGTTCTGTTTATTTATCATTGAAATAGATTACCATTGTGTTTGAAGTGCAGGTTTTGGTCTGAGTATTGAACAAGTAATTTCTCTCACACTGAAATATTTAGAAGTATTGAATGGGCTGTAAAATTGTTATTTTAAGTAACCTTTTATTTACAAAGAGGCATTTCCGATTTTCTAAAGTATAATGCTGGCCTTGAAGTTCATTGTCAATTCAAGTATGAATAAGATATTCTAATTTTTCTGGCTTAAAACTAATTAGTTTTGATTTTGTTTTTAGAAGAAGTTCTCTTGATGCAAAAGTAGAAAATTCAATATTAGTTCTAATAATTAAATTTAAATTTCTCGAAAGAGAAAAAGTTTCTGGCTGGGACATGATAAATTGATTAATTGATTGGTATTCAATAATTTATTTACAAAAAAGTTTGAAATATCTACGCAAAGGTTTATATAATTTTATGGACGAACCTTTGTTTTCTTTGGGCAGTCGTCGTTAGAACATTTCCAAAATGAGGAACAATCCTCTAGATCTTCCATAACGTGTGTAGAGTCCTAAGAAAGGGATTGTTTCCGAAAATTTAGCGGGGTACGAGGCAGAAAAACAATTAATATAAACATAAAGTCACAATATGGCTAAGGCAAAAATCTGATTGGTATGAAATTGTTTAAATATATTAAATGCCTGTCTTGTAAAAATGTTATAAACCAGTAATATTGAGTAATCCGATAATTTTGATTGATTAATTGATTGATTAGATTGATTGGTTAAACAAGGTTCCAGGTTTAGGCAAAGTTCAATCCATTCACGCCCACAGATTAAATAGTAATATGATACCAGAAGCTAAACAAAATTAGTTGTTAGATAACTATCTTCTAGGGGATCATTCAGAATCCATTTAATAAATTGAGGTTTTACCACAAAATCTATTTTTCTAATCCCTATATCTTTCCAACCTGATGGCCGGTGTAACCCCTGGATATTTCAAACTTTGAATATTTGATCTGACAGAACGCATAGTTTTAAATATCAAAGGTCTGCGACATCGGGTTTTAGAGATATAGGGATTTAAAATCAGAGTTTGTTGCAAAAACTAACTCAGTTCCGGTTTGCATGCCAATAGTGGCGTGTCGTTTGTAAATGGTTAAAAGGTTTAATTTATACTTACAACAGAGCAATCTGTTCCATCAGGGAAAGTACTCTCACACTCTTCTTGACCGAACACCCTAAGCATCAACAATTTTTTAATTTTTTGCTTTGATTGAAAACTAATAAAAAAAAATGAATTTGCCACAAACTCGGATTTTCTAATCTTTGCAACCCAATGGCGTGCACCCTAGATAAGTTTGAAATATCAAAGGTTTAAACTTTTAGGTTGCAAATATATAGGCATTAGACACTTTCAGTTCGTGGTAAGAACTAAGTTCCGTTTTGAATAAAAATCTTAATTAAGTGCTAAAAATATATATTTTTTAAATTGATCATTTGTTAATGATAGAAATGATTAATAATGATATTTATGGAATTTATGATTTCATGATTTATGGTTTTAATTTCAAATAAATAAAATTTAATTATATCAATAAAAAAAGCAAACAAATTATTATAACCAGCATAAGATTAATGATAATAAGAAAATTATTGATAAAAGTGGAGATAATAATAATATTTTTCATGAATTATGATCTAAATTTTAAAGATATACTATCAATGATAAAGTGGAGATAATAATAATATTTTTCATGAATTATGATCTAAATTTTAAAGATATACTATCAATGATAAAGTGGAGATAATAATAATATTTTTCATGAATTATGATCTAAATTTTAAAGATATACTATCAATGATAAAGTGGAGATAATAATAATATTTTTCATGAATTATGATCTAAATTTTAAAGATATACTATCAATGATAAAGTGGAGATAATAATAATATTTTTCATGAATTATGATCTAAATTTTAAAGATATACTATCAATGATAAAGTGGAGATAATAATAATATTTTTCATGAATTATGATCTAAATTTTAAAGATATACTATCAATGATAAAGTGGAGATAATAATAATATTTTTCATGAATTATGATCTAAATTTTAAAGATATACTATCAATGATAAAGTGGAGATAATAATAATAATTTTTATGAATTATGATCTAAATTTTAAAGATATAATATCAATGATAAAGTGGAGATAATAATAATAATTTTTATGAATTATGAACTAAATTTTAAAGATATACTATCAATGATAAAGTGGAGATAATAATAATAATTTTTATGAATTATGATCTAAATTTTAAAGATATAATATCAATGATAAAGTGGAGATAATAATAATAATTTTTATGAATTATGCATTAGAGGTCTAATATGAGACCATAGGAATAATAATACCCTTTTTTAAATGCATAGGATGCATAGATGCATAGTTTATATACATTTTATATATCGTTAACGTCATATATTCATATATACCATGAAGCATAGGATGCATAGATGCATAGACTTATATAAGAAATATATAAAAGTTTATATATGGCTGCATAGGATGCATAGACTTGTATAAGAAAATATAAACAAGTTTATATACGGCTGCATAGGATGCATAGGATGCATAGATGCATAGACTTGTATAAGAAATATATACAAGTTTATATACGGCTGCATAGGATGCATAGGATGCATAGATGCATAGACTTATATAAGAAATATAAACAAGTTTATATACGGCTGCATAGGATGCATAGATGCATAGATGCATAGACTTAAATAAGAAAATACATGTTTATAAACGGCTGCATAGGATGCATAGAGGCATAGACTTATATAAGAAATATATACAAGTTTATATACAGCTGCATAGGATGCATAGATGCATAGACTTATATAAGAAATATATACAAGTTTATATATGGCTGCATAGGATGCATAGATGCATAGATGCATAGACTTATATAAGAAAATACATGTTTATAAACTGCTGCATAGGATGCATAGAGGCATAGACTTATATAAGAAATATATACAAGTTTATATACGGCTGCCTAGGATGCATATATGCATAGTATGCATAGACTTATATAAGAAATATATACAAGTTTATATACAGCTGCATAGGATGCATAGATGCATAGACTTATATAAGGAAATATATAAAAGTTTATATACGGCTGCATAGGATGCATAGATGCATAGACTCTTATAAGAAAATACATACAAGTTTACATACTGCTGCAAAGGATGCATAGCATAGATGCGTAGACTTTTATAAGAAATATTATTATTCAAATCTTTATTAGGTCAAATGTCAGACAGAAATTAGCAATAATGATCACAATTAATTTAATAAGATTAAAAACTTTTTAGTTCAGATTAAGTAGCGTTTCACTAAATAATATAATTAAAGACATTTGAGACATTCGGGCTCAAATTGGAACTTTAGGAATCGCTTTACGATTATATTTTTTTATTTCCATTTTATCATTTTATATAAAAAGCTGTATGTTTTCCCCCCCTTCACGAATGCTCTTGTACTCTGTTTTAAATTAATCTTTTTTATTATGTTATAGGGTTGGAGAGGAAAAGTAAGATCCTATGACAAACCAAAAGTTGCATATCCTATATATATTCCTATTGATATCTTTTCCAGCTTCAAAGAGTTTAGAAAAACTCTCTACGAACAAGGCACTTTGAATATTTATAGGTTTTAATAAATTTTAATAATAATAATAATATGTATGGAATTTACGAAAGCTTTTTTTGTTAATTCTTTGGTTGTCGTAAAAGTCGACATCATCATTTCTTTTTGCATTGTCTTGTGAAGGCAAGAAATTGTTATACCATGTGGTGTTTTGAAAATGGATTAAAGCCTAAATTACCACAGGCCAAAGTTGACAAAGTTTTAGTCGCCCCATGTGATTAAAATGTTTATTTTACTAAAGATTTTTATTTTAAATTTTTTACATTACTGATTTTGATCTCATAATTCCTAGTGCTAGTCTTTTTTGAGAATTATTTGTTATTAATACTAATATTAATACCAAACTTTTTAACTCAAATGTCTTTAATTATATTATTTAGTGAAACGCTACTTAATCTGAACTAAAAAGTTTTTAATCTTATTAAATTAATTGTGATCATTATTGCTAATTTCTGTCTGACATTTGACCCAATAAAGATTTGAATAATAATATTTCTTATAAAAGTCTACGCATCTATGCTATGCATCCTTTGCAGCAGTATATAAACTTGTATGTATTTTTTTATAAGAGTCTATGCATCTATGCATCCTATGCAGCCGTATATAAACTTGTATATATTTCTTATAACTATGCATCTATGCATCTATGCATCCTATGCAAATGATAAAACTCGTTTTTAACTCCAATGGTCTCATATCGTGCCTGGTATCTAAATTTTAAAGATTTACTTTAATAAAGTCGAAATTCCAGTACTTTATTAGTGTAGCATTTGCTAGTACAATGTCTACCATAAAAGGGAAACAGAAAAGTTTTTTTAAATCTTTTTAAGAAACAAGCAAGAATTGTAAAAATATTTTTGTATTTTTATTTACTCACCCCAGGACAAGGAGGAGAACAGAAAAACAAATTCTCAGGGTTGCCATGTTCTAATAAATATAAAGATCATGGTTTAAATGATTAAAAGGAAATTCGTTTCACATGTAGGGTTGTTAATCGTTTTTGTGAACGATCGTTAAACGATCGTTAAACGATCGTTAAACGATCGTTTTTTGTTTCGTTTTCGGAAAAAGCTATCGTTTTTAAAAACGACCCACTCGTTTTGAACTTTTAGAAAACGAATAGCGATCGTTTTTGAAAACGATCGTTTTTATTAAAACAATTTGCGACCATTTTTTATACGATTGTTTTTAAAAAACGATCGTTTTTTAAAAAAAAGGATCGTTTTTTAAAACAAAGGATCGTTTTTGAAAAAACGATAGTTTTTGAAAAATTTCCTTATTGACAATTATGTTGACAATCGTTAACGAAACGGCAAACTATATCAAAACGGTCGTTTTTGGAAAAAACTTACATGCAACTTTATTGAATGTCGTCTTACATGAAGTTTAACAGTTGTGGGGGAGTTAAAACTCCTTGATATTTTCTTAAAAACTACTCAATGATAAGTACAGATGCCCTTCAGGTCGGTTTCCTCTCTTCGTTAACGATCGTTAACAAAGGGGTCGTCGTTAACGATCGTTAACGAAGGGTTGTCGTTAACGATCGTTAACGAAGGGTTGTCGTTAACGATCGTTAACAAAGGGTCGTCGTTAACTATCATTAACAAAGGTCCGTCGTTAACGATCGTTAACGAAGGGTCGTCGTTAACGATCGTTCACGAAACGACGAATTTTATAAAAACGATCGTTTTTAAGAAGGAGCGTTTTGAAAAACGATCGTTTTAAAAGCGACCTTTTTTAAAAAACGAACTTTTTAAAAAAAACGATCGTTTTGTTTTCAATTTTTCGTCGTCGTTTTCATAACGAAACGATCGTTTTTCTGAAAAATTAAAACGTTAACAACCCTATTCACATGAGGACTCTGAAAACCTTTGTCTGGGTCGCGCAGAGATTTCGTAAAGATTGGATTTTCATTTACACAATTAGAAATAAGAAAAAAAATCATTTCTTTAAATCGTTATTTATAGAGGCTTAAGTCATCATTAACCCCGTCTTGCGAATTTAACCGTTTGGTTCTGCAACCTGTGACTTCCAATCAAAATTTGGTCCAGGAGGCAAAACTTTTTATACTTTTTTATCAGCATATGTGTGAAAAATGAAAAAGTAAAAAGAAGACAGGTCCCGTAAGTTTACAGATTTTTCAATGATAAATTCAAATTTAAGGCCTCATTTTATTTTTATAAGATGTTAGTGTTTTTTTAATTAGTATACAGCTGTCTCAAAACCTAGTTAAAATATACAAATCAAGTATTTTAATTTTACACTGTATTTCCACCAACCAAAACTGGACTTCCTCGTAAGAATTTAACTTCTGTTTTGATTTATTACTCTAGAAGGAATGTCAGCGTATGTTTACATAGAATACAGTGTAAAATATACTGCATGAGGTATGCTGCTTAACTCTTAAACGATTGGGGGAAGTCCCCCCACCCTGTGTTTTTTCTAACTTTTTCAACATCATAGTTGTAAACAATTTTTGCTAAAAATTTTTTTTTTGATACGTAGGGTAGATGAAGTACAGTCAACCGATGGGTCAGTGTTTCAAAAATATCAGTATTGTTAATAACTTGTTTATTAATTAAGCTACGGGGCTAAACTTAATATATTTAAAAAGCCATTGAAAAATGGATGTAATAACATGTGTCATATGTTAATATTTGTCAAAAGTAAAAATATTTATTTTTGAACATTTTTCCGACATACTTTTTGAACTTTTTTTACATCCTCCCTTGCACCCTGACTATTTAAGATAGTGGTCTAAATTTGTTTAATGAGCAGGCATTGAAAATTTGTAGCATACTCACCTATCTCAACTCTCAGTGAAAAATCAATGAGTGGGGATGGAAAACAGCCCTCCCCCCCTCATCTATATTATACTTAAATAACCAAATCGGGAGAGGTCTAACATTCTTTAAAAAAAAGGAAAATTTCAGTTCTGAAGTTTTAGGGACAGTATATGTTTACATACAAATCTGCACAATGCACATGCTTTATTTTTAAATCAGAAATGCCTATGAAGAATTCCGTTTTTGGCCGGTAGAAATACAGAGTACGAATCTTTTTAATGTTAAGTATAAAGATAAAGATAAAGATGTTTTCTTACCTTCCTTCACGACTGCAGATCTTAAACTAATTCTTTATTCATATCTTTTATACTTTACGTCAATCAACATAATTCATAATCCCCTCAACACGCATTACTCATAAAAGTGTTAAAGGGAGATTTCGCTAAAAATGAAAGGGGGTATAGACTTACGGCGAAAAATAATCGCTTTTGATCACTACTAATCTCACTCCTATCTGTTGCGTCTATAAGGAAAAAATTGTTAAAAATGACTTAGTATTAAGAACATTATAGCGTCCATACAAATTCAGAAATTTGCGAAATATACGACTAGGATCGTAAAAAAATCAAAGTCATTAATTATTTTAAACGCATTCGTATAAAGTTAATATTTCATAATATTTGTTATTTGTTTTATATACAATGCATTTATAGATGCAACAGATATAACTCAGATTAGGAGCGATCAAAAGCGATTATTTTTCGTTATAAGCCTATACCCTCTTTCATTTTTCGCGAAAACTCCCTTTACTTGGAACTTTGGAAAAATTTCCACTTAAACTGTGTCAAGGAAGTGTATGCAAAATAAAGTAAAAGGGGATGTGAGATACAATATTTAAAATAAATCATAAATTAAGCTCTTAACTATTTCTTCCCGTCGTATCACATTCATCTTACAAACAGTTCATAGTTGCTGAGAGGGCGGCCCTGTACTTCAAATTATCTTCAGTTACCCATGGTTTTCCAGGTATCTGTAAATAAATGTATTTTAACTGTTTTTTCATTATTGGAAGTGTTTGCGCTTCAAAAATTTTTTAAATACTGCTCTGATGTCAACAATTCACGGGCAGCCGTAGTAAATTTGAATTTCCGAGCCGGGTCAACCTTTCAGGACTGTATTGTCCGGACATTGGGTAAATAAAGCAGGCTCAATAGGACTAGCCGGTGCAACAAGGTTGACGCGGTCAGACTATAGGTTGAATTTACTTTTACTAGAGGGTCAGAGGTGCGTGAATCGAATAGAAACAATAAATGATCAGAGCTTAAAAAAATATAACTAAGTCCGTGATTCTCAAACTTAACCGAGGATGTCAAAAACTTAGCCGTGGTCTTTAAGAAGCATGAATCGCCGTTATTGGCGGATTTAGGACATCTTTGTAAAGTTTGTTGAGTTAAGCCGCCGATTTACTGGGTTAAGTTGCATATTCAACAATAGTTGGTATATGAGGGCTGAGAGTTTGACGTTGAGAAGTACATTTAGAGCATTTCACATAACTTATTGAACATGCTTTATAATATCTTAAAAAATACCCCATTTAATTTTAAGATTAAGTTTTCTATACACGTCATTTGTTTATTTTGTCTGATTTACGTTATATTTCCTTGACGTCAGAATGGTAAATTCCATAGAATGTAATAAATAGTTTAAATTATAAAGGAATTGTTCTGACATTTAGGTAATGTGTTTAGTATATATACAAATTTTTCGGATATGGAATTGAATCATGCCTTCCTAATTCTTATAAGTGATAATAGTAATGCCCTGAGGTGTATATTGGCTATGAAAAATAAAATATTTCGAAATTTTTTTAGGTAAAGAAGTACTAAGACAATAATAATATAAACCGCTTAATATTGTTAACATACAGTTAAACCCTAAATGAGCCTTACATCGAAAGAATTTGTCAAATGTCGTCTTGACAATTTTTCAATGGGGTATATACCATTTAAGTAAATCTCAGTATTTGCGAAAATAAATAAAGAGCCATGATGCGGAACAGTTTTAAAGAGCTCCATATAATCATTTACTTAAAAAAAAATATCTGCAACATTTCATTATCAGAAAGTGAAGAATACGACATTCGATGAATTCTTTCGATGTATGGCTTATTTAGGGGTTAACTGCAGTGCTTTAAAAAATCCTTTCATTTTCATGCAGTTTTATCTAAATGTCTTCCTCTTAAAAATGTCGTCTTATATTTGCCCAAGCATAAAATCCTCGCCCCTCGGAGTTTGTTTCTTCTCAGTCAGTACTATCTATCGATCGAGTAAAAATCTAGTGTGAGACATCTAGCGGCCAAACTGTCGCCCGCTAAAGTATGTCATAAGAACGGACATTGTTAAGTTGTTACGTACATTGGAAAGGAACAGTTTCGACAAATTCTTAGGAGTTCTGGGGGGTAGGGCTTCCGCCCACCTCCCCTTCACAGGTCCAGGGATTGGCATTTCCCCCCTCCCCCCCCCCTGTATACGACCTTGCGGATTGGGGCTGGTTCATTTGGTGTAGTTTCTCGTTTTTCATGGTTTTTTTTGTACTGTGTACAGCTCGCTCTAGCTGCTTAGATGTTGGCTCGGTTCTTGGAATAAACCGGACTTAAAACAGTGACAGAGGGCAAAGCATGCATCCGCAAAACCAAATGTCCAATAAAGATGTTTATAGAATGTCGTCTTTTCTAAAATAAAAAATGACTTTTACAGCATAACCCATCTCACCAAAAAAAATGTGTTTTTTTAAAGAAATTTAAAATTTTAATCTTAAAGTCTTGAATCTTGAATTTAAAAATTATATTGAATTTAAAAAATTGAATTTACAAAATGAAACCGTATTTTAAATTTCGTATTAAAGTGTGTTCTCGGAAACGTACTAATTTAGAAAGAGAAGTAGATACTATCTTTACTTAAATAACTGAAATAAAATAAGAGATACACTTTTGTAAAGTTTATTTTAATCTGTATAACAAGAATATTTATAAAGTATAAAATGGTTATGGGCAGGCTGAGATGTTGGTGCAGACTTCAGTAGGGTTTAGGTTGTTGTTCACAAGGTCGTCAATAATTCCTAAAATAAAAATTATTAAAGGAAAAATTTAGAAAATTGTGTGAATATCCAGAATTACAAATTTGGATGGATAAAACGCACATTGTATTTCAAAATAAACATTAATATTATAAAACCGTCGCTGTAATATTTTTGCTCACATGTTACTTCGATATATGCAACATTTGTGATACATGTCATTTTTACTAGAAGCCATTTTTATTAGACGCCATTTTTATTAGACGCCTTTTATCCATTTTTACATGAAACCTATGTTAAATCAGGAGCATTTTCTTTTTCTTTTTTACCCAAGAAAACTTTACAGAGAAACCGTAGCGCGGTTAAGTTTTAAATGTGTTCAGAACCTCTTTTTAACAGTGCATTCACAGTCTATAGCTCAATGAAATATGATTGAAATAAATTAAAACAAACCATTCATGGAAAGCTTAGATAAAAAATAAGTGCAGTGATACTCTTCATAGTAGACTTGGTACATTATAGTATAACGTTTTTTCAAATCGTTCGTTAACACTTATTTAAACTCACGTAGGAACCAGAACCGTTGTTAACAAAATTGCCCGTTCATTTTGAATTGTTGCAAAGTGCTAAATCCGTCGGAAAAAAACAGGCCACTTTTTTCGCAAATTTCCATTTGTGACTTCACAATTTTGGTGGTTTCTGATTGTTCGAACTTTGAGTGATCGGTTTCATAAATACAAAAGAAGAACAAATACAGGCAGCTTGCATTTTTGCAAATTCTAATTCGCGACCTCAAAATTTTTTTTTGTTAAGAAATAAAATGTTGACCTGGAAGTTGAGTTTCAATCAAAGCATTACAAGTATCCTCCAGATCAGGGATAATCACTCCCAGGGCAGCACACAGCTAGATAATACAGATAATAACAGATAGATAATACAGATAATTACAGCTAGATAATACAGATAATAATAACAGCTAGATAATACAGATAATTACAGCTAGATAATACAGATAATAACAGATATATAATACAGATAATTACAGCTAGATAATACAGATAATAACAGATAATAACAGCTAGATAGTACAGATAATTACAGCTAGATAATACAGATAATAACAGATAATAATAGCTAGATAATACAGATAATTACAGCTAGATAATACAGATAATTACAGATAATAACAGCTAGATAATACAGATATTAACAGCTAGATAATACAGATATTAACAGCTAGATAATACAGATCATTACAGCTAGAATACAGATAAATACAGCTAGATAATACATATAATTACAGCTAGATAATACAGATCATTACAGCTAGATAATATAGATAATTACAGCTAGATAATACAGATCATTACAGCTAGATAATACAGATAATTACGATAATTACAGCTAGATAATACAAATAATTACAACTAGATAATAAAGATACTTACAACAAGATATTACAGACAATTACAGCTAGATAATACAGATAATTACAGCTAGATAATACATATCATTGCAGCTAGATAATACAGATCATTACAGCTAGATAATACAGATCATTACAGCTAGATAATACAGATAATTACAGCTAGATAATACAAATAATTACAACTAGATAATAAAGATAATTACAACAAGATAATACAGACAATTACAGCTAGATAATACAGATAATTACAGCTAGATAATACAGATAATTACAGCTAGATAATACAGATAATTACAGCTAGATAATACAGATAATTACAGCTGGATAATACAGATAATTACAGCTAGGTCATACAGATCATTACAGCTAGATAATACAGATCATTACAGCTAGATAATACAGATCATTACAGCTAGATTATACAGATAACTAAAGCTAGATAATACAGATCATTACAGCTAGATAATACAGATATTAACAGTTAGATAATACAGATATTAACAGTTAGATAGATAATACAGATAATTACAGCTAGATAATACAGATAATAACAGATAATAACCACTAGATAATACAGATAATAACAGATAATAACCGCTAGATAATACAGATAATTACAGCTAGATAATACAGATATTAACAGTAAGATAATACAGATATTAACAGTTATTTAGTATAGATAATTACAGCTATATAATACAGATAATTACAGCTAGATAATACAGATAATTACAGCTAGATAATACGGATAATTACAGCTAGATAATACAGATAATTACAGCTATATAATACAGATATTATAGCTAAATAATACAGATAATTACAGCTAAATAATACAGATAATTACAGCTAAATAATACAGATAATTACAGCTAAATAATACAGATAATTACAGCTAGATAATACAGATAATAACAGCTAAATAATACAGATAACTACAGCTAGATAATACAGATTATTTAGATTATTAAAATGAGACATTTTTGAATGTAGAGTATGTCTTTTAAAAATTGTACACGTCGGTTTCCTATTGTTAGTTAGAATATTATTAGTCATTTGAATCAATATCTTATAAAAAGACTTGAGTTCTTGCTACAAACTCAGATTTTGACCTTTGATGACTTCTATTAAATCAAATGTTAGAAATATAAAAGGGTGACATCATCAGGTTGCCTCTATATAGTGATTACAAATGTTGAGTTTCTTTCTGAATTTTCTCGGAATGTTTTCCTGGCGCCAAATTGGTGTTCTAGATTCGTGTTACCTCTTTGACAAAGTCCACAATATCCTGTTCAGTAGCATCACTGGTTAACCAGTTATCCAGGTCTGTGATAACATCTACACAGATCTCACATGTTAACTCATTCTTCGCCTGGGGCATAGATACAGCCAGGCCTAGGAGACAGGAGACAACCAGGAGTTTAAACATTCTGTAATATATATATATATATACTAGATAGATACAGCCAGGCCTAGGAGACAGGAGATAACCAGGAGTTTAAACATTCTGTAATATATATATATATACTAGATAGATACAGCCAGGCCTAGGAGACAGGAGACAACCAGGAGTTTAAACATTCTGTAATATATATATAACTAGATAGACACACCAGGCCTAGGAGACAGGAGACAACCAGGAGTTTAAACATTCTGTAATATATATAACTAGATAGATACAGCCAGGCCTAGGAGGCAGGATACAATCAGGATTTTAAACCTTCTGTAATATATATATATATATACTAGATAGATACAGCCAGGCCTAGGAGGCAGGATACAACCAGGAGTTTAAACATTCTGTAATATATATATATATATACCAGATAGATACAGCCAGGCCTAGGAGGCAGGAGACAACCAGGAGTTTAAACATTCTGTAATATATATATATATATACTAGATAGATACAGCCAGGCCTAGGAGGCAGGATACAACCAGGAGTTTAAACATTCTGTAATATATATAACTAGATAGATACAGCCAGGCCTAGGAGGCAGGAGACAACCAGGAGTTTAAACATTCTGTAATATATATACTAGATAGATACAGCCAGGCCTAGGAGACAGGAGATAACCAGGAGTTTAAACATTCTGTAATATATATACTAGATAGACACACCAGGCCTAGGAGACAGGAGATAACCAGGAGTTTAAACATTCTGTAATATATATATAACTAGATAGATACACCAGGCCTAGGAGACAGGAGACAACCAGGAGTTTAAACATTCTGTAATATATATATATACTAGATAGACACAGCCAGGCCTAGGAGACGTGATACAACCAGGAGTTTAAACATTCTGTAATATATATATAACTAGATAGACACACCAGGCCTAGGAGACAGGAGATAACCAGGAGTTTAAACATTCTGTAATATATATATAACTAGATAGACACACCAGGCCTAGGAGACAGGAGACAACCAGGAGTTTAAACATTCTGTAATATATATAACTAGATAGATATAGCCAGGCCTAGGAGACAGGAGACAACCAGGAATTTCAACATTCTGTAATATATATAACTAGATAGACACACCAGGCCTAGGAGGCAGGAGACAACCAGGAGTTTAAACATTCTGTAACTAGATAGATACAGCCAGGCCTAGGAGGCAGGAGATAACCAGGAGTTTAAACATTCTGTAATATATATATATTTATAACTAGCTGGAGGGCCCGGCGTTGCCCGTGGAAAAAAATTGAAAAAAGTGTACATTTTGAAGAAAATTTTTTTTCGATTTTTTAGCCTATTACACCCCCCGGCCACACATGACTGACCATAAAATATTTCAGCCCATTCGGTCCAGCTGTTTGGACGGCTATAAGCAACATATATATATACGAATGTCTTGTTTTATTATAAAGATCATTAAAGACACTGTCCGCGAACTCTCAAAAAGCGTTAAAATTATTTTTTTCTTTTAGCTGAATTGATATTACCGTTTTTTTTATCTGAAAACTGCTAATTTTATTTTAAATTATTGATTTATGCAGAAGCGACAAAAAGAGTTTGGCTCTTTTAAAAACGGTGATGTAATTCAAAAAGGATTTAATGGTACCCTTGTGAATCAGACACATGCAGACTCTTTAATGGAGTTAGATACCGCAGAATTACTCTGAAGAATGTTAGACCTCGTGATTCTACTAGATTATATATTTCACAGTTATAATTCAGAAAAATCAAACTTCAGTTTTGGTTGTGCATAAGATGTTTAAAAACTTATTTCAGATGTCCATAGTGTTTTTAATAGTACCGAATAACATGGCGTCCATACAAATTTAGAAAATTGCAACATACGACTTAGACCGTAAAAAAGTCAATTTAATTTCAAACAAATCATTCAGATATTACATCCTATAGTCATCGATTATCTTTCGCCACATTTGTATATATTTGATATTTCATAATATGTTTTGATTTTGTTTTTTAAAATAATATTAGCTTCCAACTTGTTTTCGAACATTTCTGGAAAATATGAAAATATCGTCTTCATTACCAAAAATCCTCGAAACGGGAATAAATGTTTTTATAAGTAACTCTCAGATCAAAAATCAACTATGTACAAATGTGGCGAAAGATAATCGATGACTATAGGTTGTAATATCTGAATGATTTGTTTGAAATTACGGTCTAAGTCGTATGTTGCAATTTTCTAAATTTGTGTGGTCGCTACGTTCTTTGGTATGAGATGTCTTTAACAATTTTCTCCTTATAGACGCAACAGATAGAAGTAAGATTAGTAGCGATCAAAAGCGCTTTTTTATCGCATTAAGCCTATATCCCCTTTCATTTTTCGCGAACCCTCCCTTTATATTTTAAAAAGAATACAGAACAAATAAAAATATTTCAAAAATAAAATAGAAGATAACGCGTCAGTCATTAGAATTTGCCATTCTCAAACTTTAAAAAGTGAAATAAAGATCAGAGGCCAAAAATTTTTATATTTTAATATGCTCAGAAAATGCTATGTTGGATCCTCTGTCCACAGACAGTTTAATTACATTTGAACTTGATTCTATTTTAACTGTCAATTAGAGAACTTTTTAGTTTTACGTAATTAAGCCTTAATCATTCATTTAATGTTTTACTACAGTGAAACCCTTAATAACGAATACATCGAAAGAATTCATCAAATGTCGTATTCTTCACTTTCTAATAATGGAATGTTGCAGATATTTAGTTTTTTAATTAAATGATTATATGGAGCTCTTTATGGCTATTTATCTATTTTCGCCAATACTGAAATTTACGTAATATAGTATAAAACTCATTGAAAAGTTACCAAGACGATATTTGATACATTCTTCCGATGTATTCGTTATTAAGGGTTTCACTGTATCTTAATATTTATTTGAATAAGCGCTAAATCATTATAAAAAAGTGTTTGCCTTTTAATAAAAGCATTTACCTGATATAAACTTGTAAAGAAGATTTCTTAATGATTAATTAAACCTTTAGTTTTCTCTTTATATACCTTCAGAAAACTTATCTTTTCTCCTTCAACAAGCAAATTCACAGATTATGGAATAAACAGAATTTTACGTAGCTCTTCTTTTCTTTGTTGACATTTTAATTTTTATGCACGGGATATTAGTATCATTTCTAACTAAACAATTAAACTTAATATTTTAAAAAGATCATATTTAAGGCTTTTGGATATAGAAGTAGGAGGTCCATTAGCCATTACTTTATACCAAACTATCTGCACGTAGCTTCCTTTGCGTATTTTAATGACTATTTAAAGGGACAGACCGGCTATGTAAAGTAGTTGAACTGAGTGTGCAGACATATAAAAAATTTCCAAGATGTATAATTAATGAGTTTTATTGCAAAGTCGACGTTCAAAATCATGAAATTGAATGGGTACGTTTTCAGACAACGAAAAATATAGTAAAAATGAAATTTGTCAGTAAATCGAAGTTAGAATTAATTATTTCCTTTTTCATCATTATATATATTAAATTTCTTATTTTCTATGAATTTGTTTGCAGATTTCTTCAAATTCTTCAAATGTCGTTTTTAATAAAATTCTAGAAAATCTGCAGAAAATCTTTTTGATTAAAGAGAGATTATAAAAACTAATAAGATTACTTATTTTCGATGATAAGATTAATTTTTATTTTCTCAACCTGTTCCTAAACAAATAATAAGTTTACTGTAGAATTTTGTTTACGTTTTTTCGCGTCGTTATTTAATAGTTAAAAAAAAAACAATTCTTAAAACGTTTCCAATCCAAATAAAGATTTTGAACGTCGACTTTGCGCTCAGACTCAGGATTTACAGATCTTTAAAAATTTTTATATGTCTCAAATGAATACTCAGTTTAACTTCCTTGCATAGCCGGTCTGTCCCTTTAAGCATAATGATCAAAATATAGAATTTTTTAAGATGTCAGCTTAATGTGAAGATAAAATAACTGAAACTCTAATTTCCATATCTCAATGTATAACTAATTTGGTGATGTACAATGAATCTACATCATACATTGTACAGCTTTGATACTTTAAAATGTTGAATATATAATTGATCCAGCATACATTAAATGCAGTTTAAAATAAATTGTATAACATATATCCGGATTAAAAAATATATTTGCAGTTATTAAAAAGTTGTTCTCTATTATTCTATATACTCTGTGAATTTAAGAACATCTTTTATCTCATCTATTATTCTGATGACACAATTACATCCATCATACACTTTTTTATCTTTAAAAGCAAAACATTTACATCCATTAAATACGCACGTGTATTTTCAGATAACGAAATCAAACATTTTTTAAAGTACTTCTAACTAATTCTGCATTTTTCTAGTTTGATGACATTAGAAGAACTATTGTATTGCATCGTAATTTTAATTATTTGTTTGATGGCTCTCAAAAGACGTTAATATTTGGTAAAATGAGACTAATTTCGTGCGAGATCTTCCCTGGCCCAAACAGTGCAGTTATATTCATATCTTAATTGAAACTTCTGAAAATTCAGAAAAATGTCAAAATAATTTCTTATGGATTTTTCATCTTCTCAAGTACTAATTCTATGACACCCAGTAAACTATCAATATTTGACACCCTGTAAACTATCAGTATTTGACACCCTGTAAACTATCAGTATTTGACACCCTGTAAACTATCAATATTTGACACCCTGTAAACTATCAGTATTTGACACCCTGCAAACTATCAGTATTTGACACCTTGTAAATTATCAGTATTTGACACCCAATAAGCTATCAATATTTGACACCCTGTAAACTATCAGTATTTGACACCCTGTAAACTATCAGTATTTGACACCCTTTAAGCAATCAATATTTGACACCCTGTAAACTATCAATATTTGACACCCTGTAAACTATCAGTATTTGACACTCTGTAAGCTATCAGTATTTGACACCCCGTAAATTATCAATATTTGACACCTTGTAAACTATCAATATTTGACACCCTCTAAACTATCAGTATTTGACACCCTGTAAATTATCAATATTTGACACCCTGTACACTATCAATATTTGACACCCTGTAAACGATCAATATTTGACACCCTGTAAACTATCAGTATTTGACACTCTGTAAACTATTAGTATTTGACACCCTGTAAACTATCAATATTTGACACCCTGTAAACTATCAGTATTTAACACCCTGTAAACTATCAGTATTTGACACCCTGTAAACTATCAGTATTTGACATCCTGTAAACTATCAATATTTGACACCCTGTGAACTATCAGTATTTGACACCCTGTAAACTATCAATATTTGACACCCTGTATAATATCTTCAGAAATCCCGATTTGCGCAGATGTGTGACTTCTCACACATTTCCAGTTAGTTTCAGCTAGACATTTATAGATATAGACAAACAACTCAAATCTTTAGATTCTACGCATTTGCGCATTTGCGCTTCTCATTTTTCTAAAATCCTAGCTTTAAATTAATACTGAACAGCAAACGTATATTACTACGTATTTCTACGTATATTAAAAAAAACTTTTATAATTTATAATTTTGCAAAAACAAATCATAATAAAATTGAAATTTTTAATAGCAAAATACTTTAATTCTGACCAACAATAGGGCTATGTGGTTTCTAGTCGTAATTTATCTTGCAAAAAAGTGTATTCCTTACTCCGCATCAGTTCAGTCGTTCTAATCACTGACGTTTTGAATCAAACATTTTTATTTCAATTTCAATATACATGTTTACAAGTAAATGACGTAATTTCAAGTTGCACTTTATGTATAGAGTGGTATGTCTGATTCACAACAATACCCTTTAGAGCTCTGTCTGATCATAAGTTTGAAGCTAATTATTCTCAATTGTGGTTTCTATGTTCAAAAGGAACTTGCGCATTTCTATTGTTGGAAAATCATAAAGAAATTATCATAGCAAAGAACTTTTAAACCTAGAAAACGACAACATCTATATAATAAAACAAGACTTCGTAAATACATATGTTGTGTCTATAGTCGGCCAAACGGCTGGACCGATTGGGCTGACATTTTTTGCGGACACTCATGGCTGGCCGGAGGATGTTATAAGTTAACGAAAATTCTATTTTTTTATTTTATTTTTTTTTTAAATATTTTTTCTTTTATTGACTTTAATCAATTCCCATCCGAGTTTTAATAAGAAAAATGTTTTAACTTAATTTAGAATATTTTAAGAACAAACATTTTCGAAAATTTTGTTGATTGCATTACAAACTATGATTTCGTCTAAAAAAAATCTCCCGGAATTGTCTGGATTTAAAGAATTCCAAAAATTCAATGATTTGATTATATATTTAGATAAAAATGAAACTTTTTCTATTTTCAGCTTTGATTTTGGTTCTGGTCTTCAGCGTTGAGGGTAGGATTAATTCTTTACAATTGATGGTTTGAAAACACCTATTTGTACTAAAGTATTTAAAAACGCCCAAGGTTGTGAAATAAGGTTGGATACTGTCGATGCGCTAAACTGTACGGAAAATGTCTTTTCCTAAGACAGATAGATAAAAATTCTAATATTTTTTAATTAATTTGTTTTGAATTTGATTATTTCTCTTGTTGCTTGCGCAACTATCTAAGAATGCCGCGAACCATTCACATTTTTCGAAATCCGTTAAAACGTTTTCTAAAAAAATAAAACATTATAAAATATAAACTATATACAAATGTGGCGAAAGATAATCGATGACTACAGGGTGTAATATCTGAATGATTTGTTTGAAATTAAATTGATTTTTTACAGTCTAAGTCGTATGTTGCAATTTTTTTGAATTTGTATGGGCGCTAAGTTATTCGGTATTAGACGTCTTTAACAATTTTCTCCTTATAGACGCAACAGATAGAAGTAAAATTAGTAGCGATCAAAAGCGCTTTTTTATCGCATTAAGCCTATACCCCCTTTCATTTTTCGCGAACACTCCCTTTAACTAATTGAAGAATTGAAATATGTTAGCAACATCTCCATTCCTTTGCTTTCAAACACACAAGAGAAAATAAGAATTGTGTTAAACTTTTAATTTATTAAATCAAGCCGTAAAAATGTCTAATTCTGAACGAAATCATTTATTATATTATTGTATATTATTTTCCAAGATTGTGAGAGATTAAAGATTTAAAGATAAACCTAAATATCTCCTTAATTCCTGCTCATTCAAAGCCTTTTGGGTACTGTTGTGGATCTAACATCCTACTCCATAAATGAAGGAGTGCATGCAATTCCGAGTTTAGTCTTTTTAGAATTGGAATTTTCTTGTCGACTATTTCTTAAAGGGGGGGAGGGGAGTATGCTGATTTATTAAGCATGAATTTACAAAAAAAAACTTTCTCTTTTTTTATAATATATAGTACAGACTAAAATAGTATACTAATATAAAATGTATGTACTATGTAGTACAGAGATGGACATTTTTTTGAGCGCACAAAATTTTCCGATCCAAAAAGCATCTCGTTCAGAATAAAAATCAAACGAAATGTATTGTTCAGAAAAATGAAAAAATAATCGGTTTTTAAAAACGAAGTAAAAACCCGATTTGAAATCATTCCACCGAACTTTTTAAAACAATAGTTTTTTTTACTAAACGAACGATTTTTTTAACAAACCTTTTCTTTACAAACTTAAAAATGATCGTTTTTTTACTTTACAAACGATTTTACTTAACAAACGATTTTACTTAACAAACATTTAGTGAGATCGGTCCATATCAATTGAACGATTTGAGAACGATTAAAAAAAAACTAACAAAATTTAAAAAAATGTCAACTGTGTGCACATTTCTTTAAAATGTTTAGTGCAGTTATATAAATATTTGTTTAGAGCAAATTTCTAGAAAAATCAAATATTTACTCTGCCAAAACTTTCATCAAATAATTCATATTTTCGTGTATTTAGGAGGATTGAATAAACTTTATTTTTGGAGAAATATTAATAGTTTATTTAATTTTCTCAGTCATAAAAGAAAAAAACAAGAAGTATGAAATCTAGTGTTTAATCAAATTTTCCAAAAGAAAATTTTTGTTACTTAATGTTAAAATGTCAGTGACTAAATTATTTTATTAACCCATTTTTTCTTATATAAACCATTGTTAATCTACAACTTAATTTAAGTTTTTTTCCATATCTCGCATGAAGGAATTCTCAAATGAAAAGATAAGCATTGATCCTCAAATTAAAATTAACCACTGTGAATATCAAGATCAACCGATCAGGATCTTGGGCATCCAAACGCAACAGTTCTGTACATATACAGGGTGTCCCACGAAACATGACAGTTGGTGAATAGTTTTGAATGTCTCTTCCATATACTGTATTATACATTAAAGACTTTTCCCAGTTTATTTCGTTAAAAAATTCTTTTACTCAATTATGTTTTACTTTGAAATCAAACTTATTATTTTATGAATGCCATGTAATATTTTTTATTATTTTCTTTGGTATCAAACAACCTAACAAATTATGGAAGAAGACATTAAAAACTATTTACCAACTGTCATGTTTCGTGGGACACTCTGTATTTCAAATAATGATACACATAATTAGTTTTGGGCATAATTAGTTGTAGGCATATATATATATGATACACATAAAGTTTTGGGGTTCGTTTGTTTTTCTAGATTGTTAAGGGGTTTGGACTATAGAATTTCAAATTTGAAATTTTATATATATCATATTTTAACCTGGAGGGTTAAAATGTTTAGAATAAACAGTTTTTAAACAATCCAGTGGCCGAATTTAAAGAATTTGAGCGGCGGTTTAAATTTAAGCCGCGGCTTAAATATGGTTGGTTCCACTTAAAATTGTATCAAATTTTTAAAGATTCAAGCCGGCGCTTAATTTAAACCGGGTTTTGGGGGATTTAAACCGCGGCTCAAATTCTTTAAATACATCTCAAATCCTCTAAAAGTCTTGATAACCGATCAAAGATATTTGCCTAAAACTACACATGTTCTCCATAAAATAAAGCTCTTGGCTCAAATAGATATATGTATTTGTATATATATTTATATGTTATCTATAGCTGGACAGCTCTACCAACATGGTTGAACATTATAATATTACATAAGTTGTTAGAATTGTTATTTTAAGGATACCCTGACCGAAGTAAACGGGATATAACATGCGCAACTTTTGGACACCAAAGCTGTGAATGGTCGTGCAAGGTAAAGAGCAAAGGCCAAAACTTTTAAAATAAAAAATTTATATTTGTGCCTTGACTCATTTTTTGCGTAATTTTTGATATTTGACATTTTTCAGCTAAACTTACTTAGCTAGCTTGGTCCTCAGAAACCCTAATCAAATCCTTAATAATCGGATGAAGGAAGTTTAGAGAAAATATCGTATTTCTCTATGATAAAAATTTGACACAGAAAAAAAGGCGATTTTTAAAATCCTTTAGAAAACTCCGTGAAGGTTATTGGAGTACGATGGAAAAATGGCGACTTAAAACTCAGTTAAAGGGAAAATTGAAAAATTTTCACAAAAAAGGGTGTGGCGAAGTGCGCTAAAAGTCTAGTTATATTTATTTGGCTTATTTGTTTATTTGTTTGTACACAATTTAAACATTAAAACGGATGAATCTTTTCTTGCAGTATCCTATGTGAAGTGAAGAATGTTGTTGAGTGAAAATGCAGATTATTTATATCGGAAATCCATAAAATAAAAATATTAAAAATCCGCTAAATTTTAAGGCTTACAAAATAAACAGTGTGTTCAAAAACAACATTTAAAAGCTAATAATATATAATAATACACCATATAAAACGGCAACAGCAACAGTCAAACTTAAAACAAACCTTTTTTATTTATTTCTATGTTTGTTAATATTTTCCTTTGTATCGAGAAGGCATTCAGCTAATAGCTTTTTACCATTATATAAAGTAATAGAAATAATAATATGAAGAAAATATAAGAGTTATGAAGCATCAGCGTTATTAATATTTTTTATTATTTCTCTCTGTATTGAGCCCATTTATTACAGGAAAACCTTTGTTAAGAAAATAATATCGAACAATCTGACGACAATGAAAATATTAATTTTCAACAACGTTTACTGTTATCTTGTAAGTTTTTTTTATCAATAAATTTGAATTATTAATTTCATCGCATAATTCATTTATTCATTTCATATTAAATTAATTTTTCAAATTTGTTAATTGGCAAAAGGTACTATAAGCTTAAATATTGACTTTTAACTATGGGTAAGCTTCTCTCAAGTCAGAAATTTTAAATTGTGAGTTGATCTCTGTCTTTGGCGGATTAATTCAATTCCTCTTTGATATCCAGTGGTGTTTATACATACATAGCCTGAGCTGAAAACTTTAGAATGGGATACACTTCATCTCGATCGCTTAATCTTAGTTTCCAATATGCTTGATTTTCTTCCTCACTTTTTAGATATCCCTACTGTATTAAAGTTATGTTTGAAAACAAATATAGATACGATGCTTTATCAATTGGACTAATATCAGATTGAACTAAAGTCAGCTGTTCACAAGTCGGCTTTTAAAGCATTTAAACAAATATAAATTCAATCATGCTAATATGAACTTATTAAATATATATTTTATCCCATTTGAGAATTATAGAACTTTTAAACGTTAGTCTTAATAAACATTAATCCAAAACTTACGTTCCTTCAATCGCTCATTAGTCCAATGGAAGTGCCACCATGGACAAATTTAAAACCGGTTTAATTCCGGTTTTTCAAAAATTAAAAAAGTCCACCTCTACTCTCTTATGAGATAGATGAAAGCATTGATCTCGATATTCACTGTTCTACAGTTTTCAGCTCTGAAATTAAACCTTATTCAACATGAACCAAAATACTTGAGAACCTTTTATTAGATGATAATTGAAAATACATATAATGAAAGGTTTAAATTCTTTTGAAAAAAAGAAGAGCTCTCGTCGTTAACAGAAAAATGTCCGGAGTCTAGAACTAAAACGAAAAGTAAAGTTTCAGCTTATAGAATCCCGCTGTGACTTAAATCAAATTTTAACTTAAAGCTACACATTAAATATTTAACCCACTGAAATAGACCAGTTAAATAATTTCAAAGTGCACCACATTGGATACCGAGATCAATCCTTCAAGATTAACGATACTTTACGGCCTTTGGGCATTTTATTATTGGATACCGAGATCAATCGTTCAAGATTATCGATACTTCACGGCCTTTGGGCATTTTATTATTGGATACCGAGATCAATCGTTCAAGATTAACGATACTTCACGGCCTTTGGGCATTTTATTATTGGATACCGAGATCAATCGTTCAAGATTAACGATACTTCACGGCCTTTGGGCATTTTATTATTAATGACAAAATAATTTCAACGTTATCTTTACATCTTCGAAAATTCTGATAAATCGTTTTTAACCGGTAATTGTCAAATACTTAACAGATCCCGGCCCTACTCACGAATATAAAATGGCTGCTAAAAATATCTTTTACCCTCTAAAAGAATTGAGTTCTTGTTTTGCTAATCCCTATATCTTTGTAATCTTTGTCGTAGGTTTTAGATATTTTTAAACTATGAAATCTGTTAGATTAAATAATCTAAGTTTGTAATATCAAAGGGTGAGGTTGCAAAAATAAAGTGATGAGCAAATTTCAGTTTGTGGTAAGGACTTAATTCCTTTCTGCAGAGGATGTTGCAATGTTTAGTTGCGGGGAAGGAAAGGAGGAGTATGTGCTTGGGATGATGCAACTGGAGCTTACAACTGTACTTGTGACAAGGTTAGTGAAGGTTGTTGCCTTTTTGCTAAGCCTTTGCTAATTAATATCGTAAATCTTAAGGTATAATTTCTGCCAAATTAAATTCTTAGAGTTTAAAATATAATTTTAAGAGCACCAGCCTGCAAACATATAGAGACTAGAAATTATAGATTTAATTCTAATCAAAATAAATCCAAAAATGCATTTAGGAGAGGAGAGGAGTAAGATGTAATGTTGGTGGGGAGAATACTTGTCATATTACATGCGTAATGTTAGGTCATACTGAGGGAGTTTGCGACCCAAGGTAAGATGCAGTATTGTATACGTTATAGCTGAAGAACCTGGCGTTACCCTTGGAATTCTTTAATAATCGAATCTTTAAGAAGAATAAAATCGAATTTGTTTAGCCTATGTTAACCCTGGGATACCAATGGGTTCCCTCAAAAAAATTTAGCCAATTTGGTTCAGCCGTTTGGCCAGCTATAGCTAACATATATATATATATATATATATATATATTTGTTTATGAGCCCAGAGCTTTTCCAATATAGACAAAAAATCCGCTAACGCATTTATGAAAAATGAATGATGAATGATGAATAATGAATAATAACAATCAAAATCAACATATAGGAATCAAAGGGCCATAAAATGTTCCCCTTGATTAATTGCATCATTGCATAATTTGTCGATAAATATAATATTTATTTTTTTAATTATTTTTATTTTCAGCTTTAAATGTAATTGTTCTGGAGAAAATAACAGGTAGCCATATTTCTTATCTTAATCTGAGATTGGAACTTATATGGTTTTGTCAATCCCTTCAGAAACCAGTAATCCGTTAATGGTGTGGTTCAATGGATTAGTTTAACCAGTTATCCGTAAATGGTGTGGGTCAATGGATTAGTTTAACCAGTTATCCGTAAATGTTGTGGTTCAATGGATTAGTTTAACCAGTTATCCGTTAATGTTGTGGTTCAATGGATTAGTTTAACCAGTTATCCGTAAATGGTGTGGGTCAATGGATTAGTTTAACCCCTTTTCTACAGGGTTACTCACAACGGATGAGACATAAGAGACGAAAGTATGAAATTTCCTAATATTCTTGATCCTCAGCGTGAATGTTTTTTCGAAAGCATTAAATATGCCTTTTTTAAAGAAGTTTCAATTTATCCTTGAGGTCGTCATTTTTCAAGAGATTCAGGTCGTCTTTACAATCCCATACTTTGTGGGTGACCCTGTACATCTATTAAAATTGACAAGCTAGAAGCCTCAAAAATAAGCTCTCGGCCAATTAAAACAGCTGTTTCCGCGTAGAAAGTTTCGTTTCAAATATTAGTTTCCATCGTGGCTCATTTAACAATGGTTCCCACCTCTAATATCATATTTTTTGTTTTTGATAATCCTTTATCTTTGCGTGTATAGTTATATTTCTGTCTGATAATGAAATTATTATTATTTTAAGAACAAAAATAATGAAAAAAGTTAGAAATCAGATAGATTTATAAAAATATTTCTTTTTTCTTTTCAGATTGGGAAGTCTATATGAAAACATTGGAAATCGTCTTTGATATGGGATTAAATCTATATTTTGTTATTTTTGTTATAAAACATACATGTGTAGGACTTATAAAACTTTGAAAAAAAGAACATATTTAAATTTAATTAACGTGAAGTTAAAGCAAATGTAAGCGTAATTTCAAGTGACTCTCCGTTTAGAGATAGTAATACCTGATTTCAACGCTCTCTTGAAACCTTTATCTGATTTGATTACAAATGTGGAAGATACCGTCGTTTTTTTACCAGAAAAGTGTTCATTTCTATGAATTGCAGAGAAACCACAAATGAAAAAAAAATTTTAAATAAAAAGACACATGCATATCTAATTCATACTCGTAAAGCTTTAAAGGGTACCATTGTAAATCACGCAGTGCCATCTTTGCCTAGAGGGTTACTAGAAAGTACAGTTTCTTTAAAGTTGGTTTGCCACTCGCTTAAAAATCAACGTTTAAGAGAAATTGTCTAAGATTTTAGAACAGTTGCTCATTGTTTAAATCTTAATATGAGTTTAATTGTCGTCTTCCTATAGCACAGTTTTATAGGTTCTACTGTAGAATAATTTGTATCATGCTTTACACTACTGTCAACAAATAACTCAATTGTAAATAAACTGTTTAATATAATTGAAATTCATTTTAAATATGTTCCCAAATTTTACTAAAAATATTTTAAACACAGGGTTACACACAAAGTATGTGACTTCAAAGACGATTTTTAAAACATTTTTTTTACTGTTTACTGTTTACCATAAAGCTATAAACCTGTTTCCTTTTTTTGCCAAATCATTAAAATATATATACAAGGCTACCCACAAAGGATGATACTATAAACACTAATCTAAAATTCTTAAATTATAAATTGTTAAAATATACGATCCAATGGTTAAAATATACAATCCAATGTTTAAAATATACGATCCAATGGTTAAAATATACGATCCAATGTTTAAAATATACGATCCAATGGTTAAAATATACGATCCAATAGTTAAAATATACGATCCAATGTTTAAAATATACGATCCAATGTTTAAAATATACAATCCATTGTTTAAAATATACGAGCCAATGTTTAAAATATACGATCCAATGGTTAAAATATACGATCCAATGGTTAAAATATACGATCCAATGGTTAGAATACACGATCCAATGGTTAAAATATACGATCCAATGGTTAAATTATACGATCCAATGGTTAAAATTTACGATCCAATGGTTAAAATTTACGATCTAATGGTTAGAATAAGTCTTCTGAATAAGAAAAAAAATAATAATGCCTTATTATATGATTTGGCTTAGAAAGAAATAATTTGGCCTGGAAAGAAATAATTTTACAGTTGCCGGGAATCATACATACAAGCAAACGAGACAGTTAAAATTCCGTCCAATCGTCTCTGAAGTCTCATATTTTGTAACCCTGTATATGGCAGAATTCCAAGTAAATCTTAGGATCATTAATCTTTACAATAGTCTTGTCTATTGTTCGTAAATCTGTATCCTATAACATGAATTAATTTTAGATTAAGATCAAAGTAAAATGTCAAACCTGTCATTCAAAATCTAAGAAAGTCAAAGAAGCAAGTCAGGTGTGAGTCAGCAAAAAATAGAGAATTCGGAAAAATTTTACATAAAACGTCAGTACATCAAAATTAAAGTTTTTTTTAAATAAAAATGTTCTCTGAACCCAATAGCTGAAGGGGGCCGTAAAGATATTCATGAATTATTTTAACTAAAGGGTCAGTGTGCCTAATTTCAAGCGATCCTCCATTCAGTTGATAGACATGTCTAATTCACAAAGGAACCCTGTACTAGAGATGTCAACGATTGTGTAACGTAACGTAAAATGTACGTTTTTGTACGTTACGTTACAATGATGTGTAACGTTTGGATACATTCTATATAACGTGAACGTTAAACGTTAACGTTATAGGAGCTCATACCTAACGGTAACGTTAAACGTTAACGTTAGGGGAATATACCACCAACGTTAGCGTTTTGTGGAAATGTAACGTTATTTTTTTAATATCTACAACTTTTTTGACCATAACGTAAAGAAATGTTTTGTTTCCGAAGGGAGCTTGAAAGTCTAACGTTTGAAAAATGAAATGTGATTTGATTGAATATCGTAACGAAAGGATTTATATTTCAAAGTTCAACTTATAAAAAGTGTAACATTGTATAAATGAAAAATGCATTACTGTTTATGAAAACGTTTTGAAACGTTTTCCCTTATAGTATAATGAAAAATTCAACGTTGCAAAAAAGGGTTATTATTTTAATAATCAGGAAACGAAAGTTTTTTTAATTAAAATTTCAATAATGTAACGTATAACATTTTAAAAAATGTAATTATGTAAATCAAAACGTTTCATAACTTTTCTCTGAATACTAAATTGATTAGTCTAACGTTAGATATATGTCCGATGAAAATGTTGTTCATAAAACGTTAGACTATATGAGGGCTGAGTTTTGATTTCAAAAGTGTAACAATAATTCTGTCAATCAAAACATTTCAAAACGTCTCTAATCTATCAATGTAAGAGATTCGACTGATGATTATAAGTTTCATTTCAAATTGAAAGAAAATGAGTTTATGCCAAAAACTCTAATTTTCATTTAATATATCTTTGCAACCCGATCTCGTAGACCATTAATATTGAAATATACAAGGTTTAAACCATCGGGTTAGAAATATATAGGGATTAGAGAATTTGAAAAAAACTTAGTTCCTTTCTAAAGTAAAACGAGTTTTTTGTAACATGCTATTAGTGAAAATTCAAATCTTATAAATGTTTCTTGGACATTAAAGGTTTTGATTTGCCATTGTTTGATGAAACCCAATAAAACTCTGGAAAAGGAATACGACATTAAGAAATTTTACATATGTATTTTCTGTTATAAAGCAAATGATTTACTAAGTGGAAAGGGTCTGTGAACAAACACAATTGCTGTGTTTCATGTTTATTTGACTACTTGAAATCATAACTTCAGTTAGCATGGTTCATGTTTTAGGTTAAAAAATTTAGAAATGTAGATACTTACTAAAATGCAACAATATTTTATCAATTGGAAAATGCGTGATATGTTTTATTCATCAATAGAATAGAAAAGAAAACTGATTTTTATTCGATTTTTTTTAAAAAGAAAAAATTGTTAATTAATTTTATTTCGCGTTGTTTGTGTTAAAAAAAAATTAGCACTTGTCTTACTATATTTGATATTTTTAACCCCAAATATGAACTCTGAAAACATTTTCATTGTGGTTTGAAAACTAAAGTTAATGCCGCTTTTTTACTCACTTTGTAAGTAACATAAAAAACACAAAAAAGAACTAAAAATTCGCCACAAATTATAATCTTTGCAAGCTGGTGTTGTAGACTTTTGATATTTCAAGTTATGACTTCTGTTAGATAAGAATGTCTAAAGGAATTGAGTTGTTCACAAACTTATATTTCTAATCTCTATATCTTTGCTACCCAATGTTGCATTGCGTAAAAAAGAAAAAATTAACCCTAAACTAATTTAAATAATTTAGAATTACTGTTCCACATGCAAAAGTTGTTTGCCTTGCCGAATTTTAACTCATTTTATGAAGTGTCCAAAAACAGTCTATTTTTTAAGCTCGTCAAATACACAATGATAATTTCAAGTAATCCTCCATTTAAAGAGGGCCATGCTAGATTCCCAATGATAACGTGTATACCTTTATCTGATTGATGATTTGAAAATTAGGAGTGTTTTCCTGTCTTGTATCTTGCAAAAAATAAATATGATACATCATTTTCTTGGAAATGTCATGCTGAATTCAGATTCGAAAATCATTTTTAAATAATTAAAATCTAAAAAAGTTATCGCCAAATAACTGTACTAAATTCCGGTTTTTAAACTTTTTAATGTTTTTGATGAGTTTTTTAGCTCTGACTCTCTTAATTTTCAATTTTTTAAATGCTTTTCAGATTTGAATTTAGCATTGAATTTCCAAGAAAATGATGTGTAACATGAAAATAAAAAATAATTTTTTTTTGTGGCCTTACGGTGAAAACGCAGCGACTTCCGGTGGGCGGTTGGCTCTATTCCAATATTGATCACCCCTACTGGACAATAGACATGCCTCTCAAATAATGGAAGGTCACTTGAAATTACGTCTCTAGTCCCTTTAAAACACACTTTGAGTTGAAAGTCTAATGCTAAAAACTTTCATTTACAAATTTTAAATATCGTTAAAAATAATAATATAATAACATCTTTATATTGCATAATGCATATTCTTCAGTACCTTCTCTAAAAAGTTTAACAATACAACAGCAACATACAGGGTGAGTAAAAATATGTAATTATCACGGAAAAAAATCTTTCAATGCTTTCATTTAGAAACAATATTAATTTAATAAAGTGTAACGTTAGAAACATTAGGGCTTTAACATTTTAATACAACGCAACGTATAGAACATTTTTTCAAATTTTTCTTAGAAACGAAAGGAATAAACAGTTTTGATTGTCAGTTGTAAAAAAGTGTAACAAAAAAGTTTTCACAATAACGTTTCGATAAATCGTAAAGTAAGAAAAGGTGCATTTTAGTAAATTTTCTAAACGTAATCAAAAGAGTTTATATTGGAAAAGTTAAGATAAAACGTAACGTTAACAAAAAATATTCATTGCACTAAAATGCATTGTAACGTACAGAACTATGCCCCAATGACGTTTCATCAAAGCAAAACGTTTGTCATCTTTTAGATCTTAAACCAAGTGAAAATGTAACGTAAGGTCACTGAAAATATTTACCTTGCATGAAAGTGGAACGTTAAAAAATTGTGGTTATATTACATAAGTATTAACGCAACGTTGGGAAAGTTTTTTAAAACATCAAATGCAAAAGCGTAACGGAGCTTACTGTTTGTCAATAACATTTACTAAAGCTTAACGTTGTATAAGGTATTCAAGTGCAGAAAATTCATTACGTAACGTTACTTTATACCATAAAATTTCATAATGTGCAACGTAACGTTTCAAACGTTAATACTTTTGATGAACACTATCGTAACGAAAGCTAAAATCTAGAAAAATCAAAACGTTGACATCTCTACCCTG